AAGACTAACATTTTCACCACTGTGTCAATTGGCAGCACAAATTACAGCTTGCTTGGCTCCACAATCAAACACACTTAGCACCAGCAGTCAGGAAATCAAAAGACTAATTGCATTGGGAAAATCTGCTGTCAAGAGACCTCTCCAGGGTACGGAAAAGCAATGAGGTCAGTCTAGAGACTAAGGTATGCCTGATCCAGGCCATGGTCTTTGCAATTACTTGATATGACAGAAGAATCGATGACTTTGAGCTGTGGTGGTGGATCAGAGTTCTGAAAATACCATGGACTACCAAGAAAACAAACAACAGGTCTGTCTTGGAGAGGATGAAATCAAGTTTCTCCTTGGAGGCTAGTGTTCTGAGGCTCTGTCTCACATACTTTGGGCATATAGCCAGGAGAGACTGGTCCTTAGAGGACATCATGCTCAGAAGGGTGGAGGGACAGTGCAGGAGAGGAAGACCCCAGATGAGATGGATTGATATGGTAATTGGGGCAATGAGGGCTGATGTGTCAGAAGTAGTGAGACTGGCTCAGGACAGAGCAGGGCTCAAAGCTGCTGTACATAGGGGTTGCTACTGGCCACAGGCGACCTGACTGCACATAACAGTAATAACAGAAATTCATTTAGATGCTCACTTCGGCAGTACATATACTAAAATTGGTATGATACAGAGAAGATTAGCATGGCCCCTGCACAAGGATGATACACAAAAGTCATGGAGCATTCCATATTTAAAAAAAAAAATCATTTAGGTTCAACTTTGAAGGCTAGAAGTCCAAATAACTGTTGGTCAGAACAGGTTCTTTTTCTCTCATCTCCAGTACCAAGTACAATTTGATCTGCAGCCACAGCAGAACTCTTGAGCAAATGGCCTGCTTCCCATCTCCTGGTGCTGTTATATGCCATCGAATTGCTTGTGACTCACAGCGACCCTATGTACAAGAGCTCTAAATGCTGTTCTATCCTGTGCCAACCTAGCCATCTCAAACGCACTTATTTCCACCGCTCCAGTCACAGAATTGATCCATCTTATTGAAGGTCTTCCTCTCCTTCACCGCCCTTCCACTCTGCCAAACATGATGTCCCTCTCCAAGGACCAGTCCCCTCCTTGCAACATGCCCAAAGTATGTCAGATGAAGCTTCAGAATCCTTGACTCCAAGGAGCATTCCAGCTTCACCTTCTCCAGGACAAACCTGTTTGTTCTCCTAGCACTTCATGGTATATTCTCTTCTCCAGCACGACAGCACAAAGGCATCAATTCTCTATCAACCCTACTCACTGTCCAACTCTCTGATGCATAGCACGTAATTGCAAAGACTATAGCCTGGATCAGGCGCACTTTAGTCTCCAGTCTAACATCGTTGCTCTTCAGTACTCTTGAGAGGTTCTTCACAGCTGACTTTCCCAATGCAATTCTTCTCTTGATTTCTGTTAACTATCTCAATCTCTCCACCATCCATCCTGATGCTGCCAATTGGCCCAGTGGTGAGAATCTTTGTTTTCTTGATATTGAGCTTCAGTCCACATAAGAGGCTGTAGTCCTTGATCTTCTGCAGCAAGTGCTTCAGGTCCTCCTCAGTTTCAGCAAGCAGGGTTGTGTCATCTGCATAATACAGGTTGTTAATGATTCTTCCACCAATCCTGATGCCACATTCCTCTTCGTATAGCCCAGCGTCTCGGATGATCTGTTCTGCATACAGATTTAAAAGGTATGGAGGCAAAATACATCCCTGATGAACCCCCTTCTTGATTTTGAACCATGTAGTGTCTCCTTGCTCTGTTCTGATGACTGCCTCTTGGTCCAAGTATAGGTTTCACATTAGCACAAATGTTCTGGGATTCCCATTCTTCTCAGAGTCAGCCACAGCTTGTTGTGATGCACACAGTCAAAAGCCTTTGCACAGTCAATGAAGCACTGATAGATATTCTTCTGGTATTCTTTGCTTCCTGCGAAGATGCATCTGACATTAGCTATAATATCCCTGGTACCACGACCTCTTCTAAATCCAGCCTGCACATCTGGCAGTTCTCTGTTGACCTATTGTTCCAAACATTTTTGACTAATTTTTCAGCAGAATCTTGCTTGCATGTGATATTAATAATATTGTTTGATAATTTCTGCACTCTGTTGGGTCACCTTTTTTTCGAATGGAAACAAATATTGATCTTTCCCAGTCAGTGGGCCAGCTGGCTGTTCTCCAGATTTCTTGGCACAACTTAGCACATCCAGGGCAGTGTCTGTTTGTTGAAATATGTCAACTGGTATGCCGTCAACTCCTGGAGCCTTGTTTTTTGACTATTCCTTCAGAGCAATCTGAACTTCCTCCTTCATCACCACAGGCTCTTGCTCATATGTCATTTCATGAAATACTTCTGTGTCATCCAATTCCTTCTGATACAGTGATTCTGTGTATTCCTTCCATCTTATCTTGATACTTCCTGGATCATTTAACATTCTACCCAAAGTATCCTTAAGTATTGCCACCCATGGCTTGCATTTGTTTTTCAGCTCCTTCAGCTTAAGAAATGCGGAGCAAGTTCGGCCCTTTTGATTTTCAGATCCCGTCTCCTACAACCACTCAATTCCAGGAGGATTTTACGTTAACTAAGTTTTCAACGGCCCTGTTTCTAAACAAGGTTACACACATTCACAGCTACAAGGAGGCCAGGACTTCTTTTGGTGGGACACAAATCTACATTTCCCACTCTATCACAGAACACTTTTAAGTCCCACAGGTCAAGAATTTTAACCAACTTTCACCAGTTATAGCAAAGTAATTTCTAAGTGAGAATGGCACTGCTTTTACTGTGTGGCTCTATTCATGCCAAGTGTGGCTCAACAGTGGATCCCCCATCTCAGACTCTAAAGCATTTGCTGATCACATTTTGAGGGCCAGTGCTCCAGGTGTCACCCCTAAAATATAAGGCCATAATTTGTTGTGCAAAAAAATAAGAGCAGGCTATAGCTTTAGAGACAGTCTTAACATAAAATCTATCTGAAGTAATTGAGATAGTTTGGCAAAACACTGACTTTGGCAGTGTTTCTCAGCCTCCTGAGGCATAAGCCAAGAGTCAGGAAAGATTTGCTCCAACAAATGCGACTTTATTAGACATTTAATTTTCTCACAACCTCATAAAACTCATGTAATACAGAAATATATAAGGGTCCTTTAGAAGCCCACAAACCATTGTATTTTCAGATTTTGCCCAAGAAGCAACTTTATTACTATTAAAAAGATATGGGTAAATTAAAAAAAAAAAAAAAAAGATGTGGCTGGCACAACAGTACTTACCCTAGAGCTAGGAGGCCTGAGTCTATGGCCTGCTGCACTGTCACCTAGGGCAGCAGTGGTTGGGTGTACAGCCCATCACTAGGGACCCAGAGGACCTGAGAGGTATTCTGGGGACTGAGCACATTGTTAGCCATATTCCCCCAACTGTCCAACTATCAAGGTGACGTAATGGCAGTCCATGAGCTCCCTGACGTAAGTTAACATCACTCACCATGGGTTCTGAACATCTTGAAGCTGATGATGATGCTCATGGTAAGATTGTACGCTGTGTCTGTACACTTGCCCTAGCCTAGCATCTTCCAAGAAAGCTGTAGAGAACCCTGTGGAGCAATGCATTGTTTGTCACACCAGGCCAGGCGTAACTCAACCAACCACTGATTTGGACACGTGCTTGGATATGAGGGAATCTGCATTGTGGTTAAGTACAAGTACCTTGACATCACTGCAGTTAATTCACTACTTGGCCATGAGACTGCAGGCTTCATAGGGCAGGTCCTCACAGATCAAGTAAAATTAATATCACTATCTGCAGAGATGACAAACAAATCATCTGTGGATGCTAGTCTGTCACCTATCACTCTGGAGCCTGGTGTGAGGCAGGATTAAAAGAATATTCACTGATGCAGAAACGTATCTCCTGAAGACGTGACCTGGTCCCCACCTGAGAGCTCTGGGCCTTGAAGGGCATGATATGCTGGCACCTGTTCAATTTCCAAATTTAAGAAAGGTCACTAATACTAGAAAAAGAATGGCTGACCTCACTTTTCATTACTCTAGGTTCATCCAGGAGCAACTCTCGGGGTAAGCTGAGTAGGAGAGTAACACTGCACTGGCCAACCCGCTGCCCACCAAAAAACCAAAGCTCAATTACAGAGACAGACGAGCTGAGGACACCTTTAAAGTGGCTGATGAAGACTCAGTAGGAGCATTGCAAACAGCAGTCCAGCAGCGCTTAGACCTCACCAAGCAACCAACAGTCTTATTGGCATAACCTGGAAACTCATGACAGTAGCTTAAAAACAATTAAGGGGGCTCAACTCCTCTGCCTCTGCGAAGGTTATGAGTTGCGCCCCAGCGCATTGGAAGAAATAAAACACCTCCTGTTGTCTGCATTAAAAAAACAAAAAACAAAAACAATTAAGGGGAAAAAACTATATGGCCCACAGCCAGGGTAACAGTTCCTGGTTCTCGGCATTCCACTGGTGTTTCTGAGGGAAAACGGGGGTGTCCCCTGTGCTAATATACCCGTTCAGTGCCAAGGAGCTGGAACCAGCTTGCAGCTGATCCTCCAGTAGATTTTCTGGAACTACAAACTACACGAGCGAAGACAGCTTTGGTCTCTTTCGTCGAGATGCTGGTGAACTGCAACTTTTGCTTAACACCACAACTCCCAACAGACTCTACCAGGACAGTATTAGATAAAAGCAGAGTAAAGTAAAAACATTCTTTTCAACATTGATTGACTGTCCTACAAGGCTAGACTTAGCAAATGGGAAGGCAGAACCTATTTCAGAAAAACATTCACCATGGAATTCTTTAAAATTGTAGCCTTAATTATAAAACAGGACTTGGACTCAGGAGGACTGCTTATATACTTCTTTCTCCTCCTACTATATTCATACATCCCCTCCTGTTATATTCACTATTAACCCCAAATTTAACAACCTGTCTTCTTGCCTTAAAGCAAGCAAAGCCAGTGGTGTACATTCTATAGCTCTTTTCTTAGGGATTCCTATCAAAGCAGTGAGAGAGCAAATGGCTGTGTAACTCCCCACTTCTCCCAAAATCTGAATGGAAGAGGGCTAAGAAGTCAAGGGCAAAGATAATGCTCCAGCTCCTCCCAGGGGCTGGGAAAGCAGCATTTTCTGGAGATCCAGACTCTGATTAAAGCAGAGCCAGTTCAGAGGCCTTCTGGTTGCTGGTACTTCCAGAAGGCTACCTCCCCATCATCGCTGCAGGAGGCCAGAAGCCCTGGCTCTTTGGGGTTCCAGGCCACACAGTTGACATCTTGGGAATGGGCTTGAGGTAGGTGGGCTGTCAGAGAGAAGGTGGGCTGGTGCGGGTCACAGCCAGGGTCCTCCTCAAACACTCGGATGGCATCATCCCCACAAGCTGTCACCAGCGCCCCTGTCAGCTGACACCTGGAGGGAGCGCACTTATCAGCGAGTATTCAGGTGAGGCCTCCCTTCCCAACTCAAGCAAATTAGCTAGACTGGTTCTCTTCCCAAAAGTCAGGCCCCTGCAAAACATCTCTTACCAAAGAGCTTCCTTAATCTAATATTTAGCCACAAGTATCATCCCCTAATTCAAGTGCTTCCTTCTACGCTCTGTCCCCTACCCCATCTAAGTAACCTAAAAACCCCATGCAATTCTGAACTGTGCCTTTCTCACTAGACACATTTAATTTTCCACTGTCCTGAAGTATTCTTTTTTTAACAGCTGTGTAAGAAGCCACCAAGTTTCAGCATAATATTTAAGCTTATTTTTGAATAGAAGTTATTTTCAAATATCTGGTAATACAAAGAAAACCTGGATGCACAATGAGACTCAGCATCCCTGAGGACTATTTCCTAGGTATCACATCTCAGAGATGGACTGTCACCTGGCTTGCTCTCTTCTAGAAATGGTACAACTCTTCTACATACCATAGCAAAGAGTCAAAGCTAAAAAACTCTCTGGATGGTCTGGTATCATGTGAACTCCAAGGACTGGTTCTGACATTATACTGCCTGGGGTCTTAACAAAGTAGAAACTGGACCTTTAAATCTGTTCCTTGCTCCTGTGAATCCCAAGTCAGCCAGCTGGAAGTCAGCCGGGTAAATAGTTGGATGTAATCCAAGACAGGAAAGGTGGCTTTCAATGCCACACACTCCTGTGGTATGTACCCTTGAGTCAGAACCGACTCTCCAGGAGGCTTTCAGAGCAGTACATTGCACAGGAGACTGTCCACCTTCCTCCCCACAAGCAGCAGGTGAATTTGCACCTCTTGCTCTTAAGCTGGCAGTGCAACTCCTTACCACTGGGCCACCAGAGCTCCCTAGAGGGCAGCAGAGAGTGGCCATTTCTCTAAAATCCCTGAGGGCACAGAAGGTGGGTAGGGGAGAAGATGAGGTCTCACCAAGCAACATCATAAATGGTCCTGGAGTGGATGCCCGACAGCGTGCAGATACATTTCCAGCTGGGGTCGGAGCCGCTGCATGCCACCCCTGCAGGACAAAATTCTCTTCAACCTACATGTCTGTGCCTAGACCCTCAGGGGAAGAACTGCCTCACTGTGGAGAAGATCACAACTCTCCCTCCTTTGACCTCATGATCATTCTGTCCTGATTCTTTGGCTCCCTCCCATCCCCCTTTCTCACTGATCTGCCTCACAGTGAGGACTGTTCTTTCCAAACAATTTGGAGAGGATATGTCCCCACTTCCGCCTCCTTTAAAAAAACCTTCTGCTGAAGACTAAATCCAACAGTCAGTCTGCTTTACAAAGCTACCCACCAGCATGCATGAACCATGTTTTTCTTCCTCAAACTCTTTATATTCTATGTAAACCATGTTCTATCCCCATTCCTGGCATAAATCCTACCTACAGTGCCTTAGCTCTTCTGTTCTCTTTGCACCCAGAATTCTCCGCCTCACTGCTTCTCCTTGTGTTAAATTCTCACTTTGGAGTTTGAATGAAATGGCCCTTCTCACATAAAACTTTCCCTGATTCTCCTACCACTTTATCTGGACCCCTCTCATGGCACGTCTCAATTTGTCTCCTAAATAAATAGCCCCACTATAATCCTATAGCACAAAACAGAATCTTCCCAAAGGATTTCCCAAACTGTAAATCTTCAGTAAAGCTTTAAACTCCCACACCTTTCTCCTGCAGAGTGGCTGGTGGGTTTGACTCACCAGTCTCTGGGCTTCTGAATGCTTTAACTTTGCACCACACAACTCCTCTTTCTACCCCACTTTGCTGTGATTCATGGATGAGGTCTTAGCCCGTTAGCAGACTGTAAACATCCTGCGAGATGGGTCTCCTTTAGTTCTCCTACATATCCTCACCTTGCTCATTGCCTGGTAGATACTGGCACCAGATGCGCACAGTCCGGTCATCACTGCAGGACGCCAGGCGCTGACCACTGGGGTCAAAGGCTAAGCTCCACACGGTGGACTCATGGCCCTCAAGGGTGGCACAGCATACCCAGTCATCTTCCTCTTCTCGGTACAGCTTCACTGTGTCATCATAGCTGGCAGAGGCCAAAAGCTGGGGCAAGCGGGTGTTGGTATGTGAAGGGAAGCAGGGACAGAGGGTGGGGAAGATATGGTGCTTGGGTATATGGTATCTATAGAACCTGGGAAGTGACTTCAGTTCCCATTAAGACAGTTTTACAAAAGGTTTAACATGTTTGAACAACAAAAGAAGATCACTATAAAGGCAAGGCTGGGGTTGAAGAACAGGGGTAGCCCCTTCCAGTGTTCTTTCCCAACAGACCCTGTGTTGACTCCTACCTCCTGGCTTGGGTGCCAAATGACATGTTTGACATCTTGTGTATGGGAGTTGAGAACAGTGACACATTCATACTCATCCTCTTCATCAACTGTAAGAAGAGAGAACAGCACTCAAGTGGAAACTCTAACAGGGACACAAGGAGAGACAAGGGACATTGGGCCACCAGCTCCCAACTCTCCGGGAGGAAACTGTACTCACCCTCCCAGACCCAGACACTTTTATCTCGGCTGCAGGTTGCCAGGAGATTGCCAGACGGTGCCCAGGCCACTGACTTGACCTCATTTTCATGGCCTTCAAGAGTAGTGACACACTGTGAAAAAGGAGGAAAGGTAAGAGTTAAGGGCATGAAAGACTCCTCTGCTTGGGTTTGGGAACCGGTCCTGGGGATTAGCCAGGAGACAGTCCTCATCCTACCCCACCTGTTACCTCAAAGTCATCCTGGTTCTTTTTCCAAATGCAAGTAGTAGCATCAAAACTGGCAGAGGCCAAGTAATTCCCACAGGGAGACCAGGCTACTTTCCTCACAGTACGCTGGTGACCAGCAGAAAGGACAGACTTGCAGATCCAGCTGTCACCTGTGGGCAGAGAATAGGCCAGGCTCTAGAAATGGGTACAGAGATGTTTTGGCACTGTCACTGCCATCTTCCATCGAGAGGTAGGAAGGTGCCAAGACCTGTATTTAACATCCCTCGGAGAAATGCTAACTATTTTCGCTGAAGACACCTTTCTAAAACAAATCTGGGAAGCTATCCTAACAACTGAAAACTATCAATGGCTTTCAAAGGCCCTGAGAATAAAATGTAAGCTTCATCATCCCAACTATCAACTACTCTTTGGGTACTTTGCTATCATTGTCTTCCGCATATTTCTGTTTCAGTATGTCTCACAATTCTTTCAAGAGTTCCAGTCTATTCCGGTCTTTGCTTCCAGTGTCTGCCCACTCTGCGTGGCCTGTACTCATCAGCTGTACCATCAGCTCTCCAGACCTCCCCGCATTTCCCGCACACCTATAATACCGGTACGCAGAGACTCAAGCGGAAGGCGCCGCGGAGTCCCGCTAGCTCTTACCCTCGGTGCCCCAGATGCGGACTCTGCGGTCGCCCCCGCATGAGGCCAGCAGGGTTCCCGCCGGGTTCCAGGCCAGGTACCAGCAACGAGAGTCTGGGTGTGCCGAAACACGGCCCAGCAGCACCAAAGAATCTTTCATGGTGTCCTGGCACAGGGTAAGGAGGAAGTGGGCAGAATCAGCCACACCAAACGTAGCTGACACCCCGCAAGTCCCCAGAAGACCAACTCCAAAGCTCCCGCGGCCCCAGGGTCCAACCGCTTCCGTCCCAGCGCCCCGAGAGTGCTGGGAACTGAAGTGCCCGCAGCGCTGCCGCATTGCCCTCTGGGAGTTGTAGTCCTTGCTCTCCTGGAGGAAAGCGCAAAGGAACTTCTTTGAACTACCAGCCCCGTGAAGCCCTGGGCGGGAGGCGGGCTGCGTACCCGAAGTGTGTCGTACACGAGGGGCGGGGCGCGGAGCCGTAGGAGCTGGGGGCGGAGAAGGCGGAAGCCGGAAGTGGATCAGCCCCGGGTCAGGCCGGGCGTTGCGGGGGTTAGGGCCTGGGATCCCTGGGCCCCAGGTAGCAGAAGATCCCGTGACGGGGCGGAGTGACACTATCTCGGCCCTGAGGCTTGCTAACGGGTGAGGAATAGGGGTTGGTGTGGGGAGGATCGTATGTTTGCTTAGGTACCACTCCAGAGCGCATTTCCCAGCTTCCCAGTTCCCGATCTCTGCGGCCCAGCCAGGTCCTCGGTTTCTCGAAACCCTGCAAGGGTTCCTCCCGAGAACCGGGGGTCGAGGCTTCTTCCCACGAGCACCCGAGATCCCCAGGACCTGATCCCTCCTCCTGTTTGCCCGTACCCCGCCCACATCCCGGCCTTCTCGGATCATTGTCTCCAACGCCGGCAGCCCCATTTCAGGGACCTCCGCCCCCGAAACCTGGCCGTCCTTTCCACTTCCCGGGCTCCCGTGTCTGCGGACAGCCTCATTATCCAGCCCCTGCCGGCCTCACCTGCCGTGACCCAGCGCCGTGCTGTTCTCCCCGCGACAGGCGAGCTCTGTGCGCCCGGCGGAGGTCGGCGGCAACAAGCAGCGACTGCGGAGCGGCGGCGGGCGGCCCCGGGTATGTACGCCCCCGGAGGCGCAGGGCTGCCCGGAGGGCGCCGGCGGAGAAGCCCCGGAGGCAGCGCTCTGCCCAAGCAGCCGGAGCGTAGCCTGGCCTCGGCTCTCCCGGGCGCGCTGTCCATCACAGCGCTGTGCACTGCCCTCGCCGAGCCCGCCTGGCTGCACATCCACGGCGGCACCTGTTCCCGCCAGGAGCTGGGGGTCTCCGACGTGCTGGGCTACGTGCATCCGGACCTCCTGAAAGGTGAGGGCGCCCTGCCCGCTGGCCCTCTTCTTTTTGGGCGACAGGGCCTCCATCTGCAGGGATCATAACCTGGTACGGGCTGGGACAGAGATAGTAGAGCAATCACTTGGTCGAAGGAGCCCTTCCTGACTGTTGTTCATGCCCACCAGGTGGCTCTGTGTGTGGGTCTGATCTTTCATTAATTCTGATGGTATTCAGCTAAACGCGTACTTCTTCTTGCAATGCTAATCTGGACTGCTGCTATTTTAGGATTGTGCCAGAGGAAAGGCGCCGTATAAGGAGAAGAGATAAGGATGCTAGGCATCCCGATTAACTGTACCTTCTCAGGAGTGAGTGGAATACAGGAAAGCTTCTCTGGAGGCAGGTTTGCTGGTGGAGAGAGGAGGAGGCTTAGCATAAAAAACCATAAAGGTATTTTAGAGATTTACATTAGAGAAAATCCAGAGTCAATTGCATCTTGGACTAAAACATTCAGAACTTGGCAGGTGGGCCTGAGGTAAGGTTGCATTGGTCATCATCAGACCTCCTCCTGGGGAGATAGTGGAAAAGGGGTCATTCTTTTTCCTAGATACTGGGGGAGGCTAGGGCCTCACCCTGTCCAGTACTGTCACCAGGATGAGAGTAGAAACCATGTGTGAGGACCTGACTGCACTGGCCAACTGCGGAAAAAAACAGCGGTCCCTGACAGCCCTTAACAACAAGCACAAGTCCACCAGCCCCAAGGTCTTCTGAACAGTTCTTGCAGGTCTTCATATTTTCTTAGTTTGTTATTTCCAACATAAAGACTAGGTGTTACTGCCTCGTCCAGCAGATAGCCCTTCCTCTTAGATATCCTCACCTTCTTGGAGGTTTTAGGTTCTGGAATTTAGTGAAAAGGCCCAAGTTCCCCCTTGTTCCTTGGATCATATACCACTTTTGCAGGTCTGGGCAGAAAAGCCCATCTTTGTGTCTTAGTGGTATTTCTTTGGGTATTCTTTTACTATGTGGGATCTCTTGAATTTACGGAGTTAGTATAATTTGATAGAAAACAGGATGGGACTTCTAGTTTGCTCCCAGATTTTACTGTGATGGTATGGTAGTCTTTGCTGGATTGGGTCATTAAGACCAAAGTTAACATGTATGACAGAGGCGCTGTGACATGTAAAGTTTTCTCTGGCATGGAGCCAGTTATACAAAGTTCATGAAGTTCAAGTTGAGTCTCGATGCTGTTTCTGTAGATTATTCCCTTGGTTTGCTTGCTTTGAAGCACAGCTCTCACCTTTGCATTTCTACCACACCATTCAGGCTTTAGCTGTTTATCCAACTTAGTGTTGCATTGTTTCAGGAGTTTAAGGTCACCTGCACATCGAGAGAGGATTCACAGTGCTGTCCATATTTCCAGTCCCCTTACAGATCATGCATGAGAGAGAGCTCATAGAGCTCAGGAGAGAAGAGAGAGGCAATTGACCCTCACATCCTTAGTGCAGAGCCTCAGTGAAGTAAAGTGACCTCCCAAGTTCACACAGCCAAGAGTACCGTAGCTGAAATCCATTGACTTTAGTATAAAAAAATGTTACTTTGTTTATTTTAACTTGTTGCATTGTTTCAACTGTAACAAGGAACATTCTCCTGTTGGTGTTCATTCTTGCCAAAGGTGTATTAAAATGAAAAATTCTTTTTGCAGATTCTCCTTTGTGTACTTGTGGATTTGCCCTTTCTAAAGAATTACCCAGCCAGACTTTGGTTTTTAAAGCTTGTTCCTTTAACCATTGCCTTACATTTGCTGTTGTGTTTATTACTCTTATGTGTCAACATAAGAAGTTCTTGTGGTGTCGTTTGTAAGGCAGTTGACAGGTAACCCAAAGGCATTCATTCTTTGTGCTTTTTGGTTAGAGGTTAGTAGTGTAACTCTGAATTAGTCAGCAGCTCCCCAGGAGAAAGATGAGTCATCTCCTACCTTGCTAGTTTACAGCTTTAAAAATTCCAAGGAAGGCCCACTAGGTTCTCGCTGCTTGCCTGTGGCCATCCCCTTGGCCTTTGCTATCTAGAAACTCTGCTGTTGGGTGCCATCGATACAGCCATAACACATAGCGACTTTATGAACAGCAGATTGATTAGAATTTAACTGTGTCCTGCACTGATGTCAGGATCACCACCACATGGAGGCCATTGTTGTGGTTGCTGTGTCAGTCTGGCTTCCTGTGGGTCTTCCTCCCTTCCCTGACCCTCACTTTTTCCAGCAGGTATTTTTTTCCAAGATGTTCTAGATGCCCATTAATGGGAGAGTTGGCAGTGGTGCCACATGAGATTTCAGAGAAGAAGAGGACTGTGGTACCCTCGCTTTTATCTTTTCTTGTTCCTGTGGGGTTTTGGTCCCTAATAGACAGGTTCCTGAACTGAGAAAATGCTTTTTTTAAAAAAAAAATAAATTATTTTTTAA